AAACCCTCAAACCTAGTAGAAAACCCTAGCCCCTACACCATAAGCCCCTTATATGCCCGAAATCCCAAGGGTTGCGGACTGCGTGAGTGACTTACGGGCTGATGTTCAGGTTGCCGCGATAAGGAAGCCATGTGATATCTACCTGGGTGTCAAGTTCCTCCTGACCCCAAAACCAAGAACCCTGAACCCAAACCTTAAATCCTGAACCCCCCAAACCCTAAACCCTGAAAAGCCCAAACCCCAAATCCTGAACAAGAGTCCTCTAAGTTCCGAAGACTTCAACCCAGGCTTTGTTTAGGGTGGCTGGGTGGAGCAACTGTTGGGCGGCTTGGGGTAGACCAAACCCTAAACCCCAATGGTTTGTGGGGCTCAGGGTTTAGGGGTTGAAGTTTAATGCTTTAGAGGTTGAAGTTTAGGGTAGTCTGGGGTTTAGGATTTTAGGGCTTTAGGTTTACGGGCTTAAAGCTTGGGGTTTAGGGCTTAGGGCTTGGAACTTTCGTGTGCCCCAAGAAAACTTTTTGGAGGCTGCTTTAGCCCGATAGAAGGGGCTTTGACATCAGAACAAGCAAGCAAGCCGGACAAACTCCTCCCTAAGCCCTAAACCCTAGGCCCTAAGCCCTAAGCCCTAAGCCCTAAACGCGAAAAGAGAGTTCGAGATTCCAGGACAAGTTCGGGGTTAAGCGGCCAAAACCCCTCCCCCCCCCCCAGACCCAGCCCTTGATAAGGGCCCTAAAGGTACCCTCATGGGGCCCTCCAAGCCCTAAATAAACCCTAAACCCTGTACCTTTTGGATTTCTTGAACGGGCCGAGGTGGGCCTAAGCCCTACAACCTCAACCTTAAACTTAAACCCTGAACCCTAAACCCTAAACCCTATACCCTAAACCCCTTGTACCCCTAAGCTCTAAACCTAAACCCTAAACCCTCAACCTTAAAATGCAGGTCTTGTCGCCATCCTTCGCTTCCCTTCGGCCCGGGCAGCTCTCCGGCGTCCTGGGCGCAGCCAGGGGTTTAGGGTTTAGGGTCTATAGACGCTTATAGGGTTTAGGATTTAGGGTTTAGGGTTAGGGACCCTAAACCCTAAACCCGACAGCCTTTCCCCCAGACCCTATATCGAATAGTACCAGCAGTTGCAAGCCAGCCGGAGATTTGGGAGCTGCTCAGTTCCTAGGACCCAGAGTAGGCCCTTATTCCCCTTTTTTAGGGTTTGTTTTTTTGCGTTCAGGGTTTCGGGTTAAGGGTTAAGGGTTTAGGGCTACTATGACGCAGAGTAGGCCCTCATTCCCATTTTTGAGGTTTAGGTTCCCTTTTTGGCCCCTTTAAACCAAAAAGGACACATTGCTTTTCTCCTAGGTTGCTTTGGGATCGAGGTTCTTGAAGGGAGGGCGTAGGTCGAAGAGTGTAGGGTTGTGAAGGCAGCTTGAACAGCAGCTGTTTCCCAGCAGCTGTTCGGCCGGCCACATCTCAGTCGCAAGCTCCTTGCCCTAGCAGTAGAGGATGCTGCGCATCCGCATGCTTTCAGGAGAGGAGTTGACGAGCCTGCCTGTGGAGGAGGTGAGCGACGTGAGGGAGTTGAAGCGGCTTCTGAATCGGAGCCATGGCCAACCCCCGCGTTTCAGGCAGAGGCTCCTCTTGCACGGCGCGAACTTGGATGATACTGCGCGTCTAGACGCAGCCGATGAGCTGGGGCTTGTGTTTGGGCTCCTGAGTAGCGCTATGTTTGATTCTGGCGTCTGACAATGCGAACCGAGACTTTGAAATATGTCTATATATATATATATACATTATGTACATATATATATATATGTGTTTCTATATGTTCATATGTGTTTTTCCTGTGTTTTTTTTTGAACTTCAGGTGCTGCTTCAATTCCCGGAGTTTTCCCAGCTGCAAGTGGACGAGCTTGGCACTGCCGCCGCAGATGGCTCCGTAGCAGAGGTGGGTGGTTCCTTGTTTTTTCCGAATGACTATGGGCCCATATAATTGAAGAGCCTACATGGACCCATGCGGGCATTTCCCGAAATTCGGGGTACCTCAATATACCCCCCAAAATAGTGCAAGCCTTATGATAGGAACCCCCCAAGAAGGGGGGTACCCCATTTTTTCTCGGAAACCCTAAATCTTAAACTCTAAGTCCTAAACCCATTGATACTGCACAAACCCTAAACCGTAAACCCTAAACCCTAAACCCTAAACCCTAAACCCTAAACCCTAAACAGCCAGGTTGAGTCTCTGCTGCAGTCTCCCCGAGATCCCAACCTGGGTGCCACACGTGGCGAAAGACCTTTGACAAGCGCGGCTGGCGGAGGTCCCCTAAACCCTACACCCTAAACCCTAAACCCTACACCCTAATTACACCCTAAACCCTACACCCTACACCCTAAACCCTAAACCCTGAACCCTGAACCCCAAACTCTAAGCTGGCGGAGGTCATCTTGAAGTTGTTCAGTTGTTGCTGGAGGCGGGCGCCGATCTTCACTGGGCTGATGACGAAGGCGTTACGGCATGGATGCACGCATCTTCTAGCGGCCATGCTGAAGTAGTGCGCTTGTTTCTGGAGGCCGATGCCGACAAGGATTTGGCCGACAAGTGTGGCTGGACAGCTCTGATATGGGCATCTGCCGGCGGCCATGCTGAAGTGGTGCGTTTGCTGTTGGAGGCCGAGGCCAACAAGGACTTGACCGACGCCATGGGCTGGACAGCGTTGATGCGTGCGTCTGGCCATGGCCATGCTGAAGTCGTGCGCCTTCTGGTGGAGGCCGATGCTGACAAGGACTTGGCAACTGACGCAGGACCTGCATTTTTATCGGCATCTGCTAATGGCCATGTGCACGTCGCACGATTCTTGGTGGAGGCTGGCGTCGACAAGGACGTGGCCGATAGAAGCGGCTCCACTGCTCTGATGTGTGCAGCTGGAAACGACCACACTGAAGTCGTGCGCTTCCTGTTAGAGGCTCATGCCGACAAGGACTTGGCCGATGACACGCGCTGGACAGCATTGATGCGTGCATCTGGCAGAGGCCACGCTGACGTCGTGCGTTTGCTTGTGGAGGCCGATGCTGACACGGACATGGCCGACGAGAATGGCTGGACAGCACTGATTCTGGCATCTGGCAACAGCCACGCTGAAGTCGTGCATTTGCTGCTGGAGGCCCGTGCCGACAAGGACATGGCCGACAAAATGGGCTGGACAGCACTGATGCGTGCATCTAGCACCGGCCATGCTGACATCGTGAGATTGCTGGTGGAGGCCGGTGCCGACAAGGACTTGGCCAACAGCGTAGGATTTACAGCACTGAAGGCTGCATCTGCCAATGGCCATGTTCAAGTCATGCGATTGCTGCGCGGATGTTAGCGCCGACAAGGGCTGCACCAATCAGGATTGAGAAGAACATGGCCAGGTTGAAGTGTCGCTTTTTGCCGATGGAGCGGTGTCGAGAAGAATTGGCCGACAGCAGGCAAGACAGCTCTGATGGGGGCATATCATGTGGGTCATGTTGAAGAGACCACGCGGATTCGCATCTGCAAATGGCCAGTTTCTGCCGTCCTTAGTAACCGTCAACTTTACACCCTAAACCCTAAACCCCAAACCCCGAACCCAAGACCCTAAACCCTATACCCTAAACCCTAGACCGTAAACCCTAAACCCTCAACCCTCGACCCTCAACCCTCAACCCTCAACCCTGAACCCTGAACCCTAAACCCTAAACCCTACCTTAAACTCAATGCAGGTCAGACCCCCAAAGGTTCGCAAGTTCGAGCCATCGTCCTGCACCTGGCCTGACACAGCTAGGCAACAGGGTTTTGAGTTTAGGGTGTCAGGCAGCAGAGTAGTTCATTCCCCTCTAAACCCTAAACCCGAAAAGCCTGAAGCCCCCAACCCTACAGGCCTAAAGCCCTGAGCCAAACCCTGGCAGGAACTAACCAATCCCTACACCCTAAACCCTAGTTTAGTGCTTAGGGTTTAGGGTTTAAGGCTAGTTTAATGTTTAGGGTCTGGGTGCAGACTGAGGAACTGGAAGAAGACGGTGCAGACGCCGATGACCAAGTCGGTGAAGCTTGCCGGGGCCTCTGGACAGGATTCAGGGTTTTGGGGGTATAAAGGTTTAGGGTTTAGGGTTTAGGGTTTAGGGTTTAGGGTTTAGGGTTTAGGGTTTTAGTCGAGTTGAGCAGTTTTGGGTTCAGAGTTTGGGGCTTCGGGCTTGGTAGGTTGCAGGGTTCAGGGTCTGGCCGTTGCAGAGTTTAGGGCTGGTTTAGGGTTTAGGTGTTGTTGCCACACCCAGACCAAGTCGATCATGGATCCCAATCGATTATCCCTCATCGGCTGAGTGAGGTGCGACGCCCGAAACCCTAAACCCCAAACCCTAAACTCTAAAAGCTTCTGAAAACCCGCAACAAAGCCATACTCCCAAGCTCAAACCCAAAATCCCAATAGCGCCATGCTCTAAGCCTTGTACACTATAGCCCCTGAACCCTGAACCCTACTCCCCCCCTCGCCCTCCAACACTTCCTCAACCCCGAACCCGCAGATGCTAAGTAGGTGAGCTTGTAAGTTTTTCCCCACCCTCGGTGTGGGGTTGTTAGATTTTAAACTCAACTCTTCTCCTCGCCCGGAATCGCCGGGTCTACTCCTCGCTCATCCCTGGAGTGGCCAGCTCCCCACAGTCTGTCTGGAGTGCCCAACCCGAGAGTCTCCCCGCCCAGCCCCAACCACAGAGTCTCCCTGGAGTGCCCAACCCTCAGAGTGTCCCCGGAGTGCCCCAGAGTGTCCCTGGAGTGCCCAACCCCAGAGTATCTCTACCAAGAGAGGTGGGGACGTTCGAAGTAGAAGGATTTTGTGTTTTTCGGGGGTTTGGGGTCTAGGGCCTAGGGTTTGAAACCCTTCACCTTTACAAACCTGGTTGGTTTAAGTCTTTTGGCTTAGGCTTCTAACACTTAAACCTAAGCCCGAAATCTGACACCCGAAAGCTCAGCTCGCATGAGTCTTCCTCAGGTGAGTTCATGGATGGGCAGCCGGAGGGCATAAGGGACTCCGACAGGCACGAAACGCCGAGGCCCTACTTGGGAGCCCTTTTGACTTAGCAAGTGGGGTTACTAAGGTGGGTTATGGGGATCCCTAAACCCTAAAGCCTAGGCTTAAAGCCTAAACCCTAAACCCTAAACCCTAAACCCTAAACCCATTTTATGAGGGGTTCTAGGGGATACTAGCTGGAGCTGGACCTCAGATCCCTGTCTGCCTGCCCGCAATTGCTACCCGAGAATGCCCGGCTACGCTCCGGGCCTTATGAGGCCCTCAACTACCCGAATTCTTAAAACATAAAAGCCGTAAGCCCTCTACGGGGCAGCAATCCTGAACTGCCCGAAAACTTGAGACAAGCCTGAGCAATATAAGGTTTAGGGTTTAGGGTTTCGGGTTTCGGGTTAAGGGATGTTAAGGGTTTAGGCTTTAGGGTTTAGGGGTATAAATGTTAATCCTAAAATGCAGGTCTCGTGGCTATCCTTCGCTTCCCTTCGGACCGGGCAGCTCTCCGGCGTCCTGGGCGAATCCGCAGCAAAGGGGTTAGGGTTTAGGGTTTCGGGTTTCGGGTTTAGGGTTTAGGACAGGCCTCGGTGCAGGCAACTGGCCTGATTTGCGAATTTTTCACTTCGCCACTCTCAGCAGCCCAAAAATCAAAAGCCCTTAAACCCTATACCCGCACTCGCTACATACAACCCTGCACCCCAAACCCTACAAACCCCGAAATCTTTGAAGAACTCTTAAACCCCTTACAGAGTCCCAGCTGAGGACCCGGAAGACGATGGAGACACCCGTGGCCACGACGATGAAGGTTATTGTGGCCCATATTCAGACGTAGGGTGCGCCCTCCCCTCCAAACCCTATAAATCCTGTAGTTCCCCTACAAGCCCCATTAAACCCTCCAAACCCTCAAAGCCTAGAAGCCCTAAACGCTCTAAAAGACCTTCGGCCCTCAAACCCTATAAGCCCTAAACCCCGAAGGGTTCATAGGGTACGTACCCTAACTATACTAAAGCACCTGAAATCCTAAAATCCTAGAAGCCCAAAGCCCGAAAATCCCCAGAGACCCGAAGCCCTAAACCTGAAAGTGCTCATAGGGTATGGTTTAGGGTTTAGGGTTTAGGGTTTAGGGTTGAGGGTTTAGGGTTGAGGGTTTAGGGTTCAGGGATAGAGCTTGGGGCTGGGTGTGTCTCTCCCCACTCCAATGCCCAATCCACAAGACCAGAGGCGTGCTATCGGCCTCTTTATGGTTTTATAGTTTGGGGGGTGGGGGGGTTTAGGGAGTTTAGGGTTTGGGGGTTCTGTTGTTGTTGCGAAGTAGGGGCTTATAGTGCTGTTTACACGTTCTTAATGTTTTTTCAGTGGTCCTATAGCTTTTTCGATATGCAAAAAAGACAAGACGTGCTGTTTAGGATGTATCTCTGGCTAATTCAGTCTTGTAGTTGGGATGTTCCCGGCTATACTAACAGCCCTTAGTAGGGATTATAGTACCCCCACTTGTATAAGGGGGAACATCCCAATCTTGTCGTTTTATAGTTTTCCAGCCTTTTGCTTGAAACATGGGCCTCGTTCAAGCGGCTTCCTTCTGCATGGCTGAGAGGGGTTTTAGGGTTTGGGGCTTTGGGGGGTTTCAGGGTTTAGGGTTTAGGGACACATATAACCGCCTTTAAGACCCTAAACCCTAGAACCAAACATCGTTTTTCCGCTGGGTTGCTTTCAGGGTTCAGGGTTTAGGGTATCGGGTTTAGTAACGCCCGAACCCAATAACCCTAAAAACTTGAGGCCTTTTGCGGAACTGCATCTCTCTATCTGAAACCTACGTACAAGTCCCCCAAAACTCGAAAGTGTTCGAGGAGCCCTGAAACTAACCATAGCACCTCCTCGTTGGAGGACACAGTAGACCCCCCCCCCCCAGGGTTTTGGGGCGTAGGGGTTTGGGGCTTAGCAAACTCCTAAACCTTCGACAATCACCGCCCCCCCCCGCCTCTCCCCCCCTCCCCGCACAAAGACTCAGTTGAGAAGCTCTTAGGGATATCTAGAAATGATTCTTTTTTTTTGGGTACCCTAATTCCTAAGAAACAGCTAGAATGATAATGTTTTGCGAGGGTTCCAAGTTCAGTATAGTTCCCAGGCGAGTCCTTCATGGATGCTGGGAAGTCATCGGAGGGCCGGAAGATGTACTTCCGAACGCTGGACGATTCCATGCGGGACGCTGGGAGGCAACCCAGGCTGCGCCGTACTTAAAGGTTCATGGTACTTATGAACCAATTATAGCTGTACGTAGAACTGCACTTATAACCATGTTAGGGCACTTAAGGGGGTCATAAGTAAAGTTTTAATTGGTTAGTAAGTACCATGAACCTCCAAGTAGAGCACCCCGCGCCTTAACCCAAAGCCCCAGCGCTGAGGCGAGCAAAACACCTTTTATCCCGAAAACCCCGAAACCTGAAACTTGAAACTCAAAAGCAAAAGCCCTAAACCCTCAACCCTCAACCCTCAACCCTAAACTTTAAAACCTAAACCCCAAACCCCAAACCCTAAACCCCTAAACCCTAAGCCCCAAACCCCCTTCTTGCCCAGGAGCAAGGAGTCCTGGACAGCGGCGCATCCCTTGGATCGTCCCAAGGGGCTGCTGGGTGGCACAGTTAGACTCTTCTTTAGGGCTGTCGGTTTAGGGTTTAGGGTTTAGGGTTTAGGGTTTAGGGTTTAGGGTTTAGGGTTTAGGGTTTAGGGTTTAGGGTTTAGGGTTTAGGGTTTAGGGTTTAGGGTTTAGGGTTTAGGGTTTAGGGTTTAGGTGGGTCGATTGGCCCATGGAACTTGCTTGCCTCCTTGATTGCGGTCCTTTGTGCGAAGCAGAGCTGTAAGTCTTAAAAAGACCCCGATGGAGGAGAACTCATTGAAAAGCCCTGCTCAATCACTGCTTGCGGCCCTTGATCCTCCAAGTACGTGTTTCGTAGTTAAGCCGTCTTGCTAACCTTCAGTTGACGATTGTCAGCGTATTTAAGGGTTTAAGATAGGACCAGATAGGAGCTTGTTTGATGTGAATGCTTGAAAATGGAACGGTGAAGTGGTTATAGGGGATGGGGAGGATGATATGAGTAGCTATGCAGGCGGGCGCACTAGGATGTTAAAGATTTAGGGGTTGAGTGTTCAAAGGGCTTTGGGCTTTGGGGTTTATAGAGTTCAGGGACTCTGGAGAAACCCTCGGCCTTTATAAGTTTCGAAAGCCTTTGCCCTTCAATCTTTCGAAAGCCGCCCCCAAACCACTATGCGAACCCAAGATTTTTACAACTGCAATAGAGTCAAGCCCCTAAACCCTAACTAAACCCAAAACCCCAAACCCTAAACCCAAAACCCTGAACCCTAAACCCTAAACCCTAAACCCTAAAGCCCTAACTCGAGAACCTCAGGTGTCCCTGTCCTCCTTGGGCATCGGCTCCAGCAACCGCGCCGTTCTCCGGAGCTCAGAGGCTACCGCCCGAAAGCGGTTTAGGGTTTAGGGTTTGGGGTTTAGGGTTTAGGGTTTAGGCTTTAGGGTTTAGGGTTTAGGGGTCGGAAAAATTACTAATAGTATTCCCGTGTTGTCCCTTTAGATTCACATTATAATATTCCCCAAAACCCTATTCTACTTGTTCAGGTCCCTATAGTATGGTTTAAAGGTTTCGGTTGGGATGTTCCCCCGAAAGTGAACAGTCCTTAATAGTACGGAGTACTTTAATGCCTCTTCAGGACTGGTAGTATAAGGGGGATCATCCCAAGTTTTAGGGTTTAGGGTTTTAGGGTTTCAGGGTTGTAGGGTTTTAGGGTGTTAGGGGTGTTATGGTTTTGGAGTTTTAGGGTTTTAGCGTTGCAGGGCTTTAGGGGTTTTCGGGGTTCACGGGTAGGGTTTCAGGGTTCGGTATCTATATCGGGACCTACGAGCCTAAACCCTACGTCCTACCCCAGCCTAAGCCCCCTAAACCCCCTAAACCCTCAACCTACACAGCGTTTAGGGTTTAGGGGTTACAGCACTACAGCGTTTAGGGGTTTAGAGTTTTAGGGTCTCGCATCCACAGACTCTGTAATTTCCGAAAACCCTGAACCCCTAAAACCCCCAAACCCCCTAAACCCTAAAGCCCTAAACCCCTAAAGCCCCCAAACCCCCTAAACCCTAAAGCCCTAAACCCCGTAGAGCCCCCAAACCCCTCAAGACCCTTGTGAAGAGCTGAGGTGGCGGAGCCAAGTGACTCGACGAAGCGAGGTGAGACCACGCCGAAGAAGGCATGGTTTTAGCGTCGAGAGCGCCGAGGGGGTTTAGGGTTTCAGGGTGTAGGGTTTAGGGGTTTAGAGTGTAGGGTTTAGGGTTTAGGGTTTAGGGGTTTAGGGGTTTAGGGGTTTAGGGGTTTAGGGGTTTAGGGGTTTAGGGGTTTAGGGGTTTAGGGGGTTTAGGGGGTTTAGGGGTTTAGGGGTTTAGGGGTTTGGGTTTTGGTTTAGGGGTTTTGGGTTTAGGGGTTTAGGGTTTAGGGGTTTAGGGGTTTAGGGGTTTAGGGCTAGGGTTCAGGATTTGGGGTCTAGGGTCTGGGGTCTTAGGGTTTGGGTCTTAGGGTCTAAAGGGTGTGTATGCAGCTCACCGGTGTTAGTCACACCCACGGTCATCGGGCTCCCGGGTTCAAGGGGGGTTAGGTGGCTAGGGAACCTTAGGAAAACTTAGGGAGCCCTTTGGGAGTAGTGGGGAGTATTAGGAAACCTCGTGGATTTACGGTTTAGGGTTTAGGGTTTAGGGTTGAGGGTTTAGCGTTTAGGGTTTAGGGTTACATACCCCCCTCGAGCCCCCCTCCCTCAAGAACCCTATAATTTCTCTCATCGTTCAAAGAACAACCCTACCTTGGGGACCAGATGAACCCTGAAAGGGTTTATGGTTTATTTACATTACCTTAATAGCGATTATGGTAGTATAGGGTATATGACCCTATTTTTTTCGGTTCATGTGGTACAAGGGCCTGACTAACCCTCTGACCATTGAACCCTAAAACTCTAGTACTGTAGCCCTTAAACCTGATAAACCTGAAGCCCTATAGAAGCCCTAAGACCCTAATTGCCCTAAGCCCTTATTATATGGTAATACCGTAAAGCCCCACTATCCCCAGTAGCCCGAACCCTGATCACCCCAAGAACCTCAAAAGCCCCAAACCCTAAGCCTGAAAGCCCTGATAACCCTATTAACCCGAATAACCCTAAGAGCCTAGTCCCAGAACCCTAAACCCTAAACCCTAGGAAAGCAAGTCCACTGCACCTTTGAACAAAACAAGCTAAACCCTGAACCAAAACCTAACCCTGATAACCCTTTTAACACCTAGTAGCCCCAAACCCTTAGCCCTGAAAACCCTAAACCCTACACCCTAATAGCCCGTATTCTTGGCTTGTGGACGAGACGTCGTGGTGACTTTGAGGATGGATAGCTCGTCGGCGAGATCTCTTTTATACAAAAGAGGAGTCTCAAAGTCAGGCACCTCGATACTCGACTCTTGTGGTTGCAGGAGTGCGTGGCTCGAAACCAGATTGCTGTGCTGGCAGTCAACACGCAGTTGAACACGGCGGATTTGGGCACGAAAGGCCTATCATCACATCCCATCTCCTTCTTGTTGGACCGAATGGGGCTCACAGGGATACCAGTTTCTCATGAAAGCCATCCTGTGAACGTGAGGCGCGTGCAGCAAGTGAGGTCAAAGATCATTGTTTAGGAGGGGCTCAGAAGTCAGCCCGAGATGTTTACCATTACCTTGAAGACCCTAGCTAGAACCGGGAGTAGGCCCTTTTCGCTTTTTTTTTAACCAAAAAGGGTACCCGTTTTATTCCTAGGCTACTCCGGGTCTAGCTAATAACCCTAAACCCTACACCCTGAACCCTCAACCCTCAACCCTCAACCCTCAACCCTGAACCCTAACCCTAAACCCTAAAAACCCTAAAAACCCTAAAACCCTAAAAACCCTAAAAACCCTAAAAACCCTGAAAACCCTAAAAACCCTAAAAACCCTAAACCCTAATAATCCTAAAAAGCCTAATAACCCTAAAAAGCCCTGAGCCAGGCCACCACTGCGGCCGCCTCTGGCGCCTCGCAGCGGAACCTCCGCCGCGCCCGGCGCCGCGCCGCACGCCGGGGCGAGGCAGGGTTTAGGGTTTAGGGTTTAGGGTTTAGGGTTTAGGGTTTAGGGGTTAGGGTTTAGGGTTTAGGGCTTAGGGCTTAGGGTTTGGGGTTTAGGGCTTAGGGCTTGGCCTTGGGGTTTAGGGTTTGCGGGTTTAAGGGATGAGGGTTTAGGGTTTAGTGTTTAGGAATGGTGTCGGGTGCAGGGCACATGCTTTCATGTTTTTAGTTTGTTCATTTTTGTGCGGGGGTATTTGGTTAGCCATACTTGGAGTACGATGGTGCATGTATATACTTATGGCTGAGCCATAACGCAGGTACAAGTGCAAATAGTAGGGTTACAAGTGTTATTGCTGGGTCAATAAGTACCCTGAACCTCCAAGTACAACCCTCAACCCTCACCACACCCTAAACCCTAAAACCCTCAACCCTAAACCGAAAGACCCTTAGCCCGAAGTCCGAAGTCCGAATTTTAAGCCGGCCCAGCAACCACTCAGCAAGCCGGCTTCTTGAGCAGAAGACAGCCAGTCAGGGGCCCCGCTTACATTGCATATTCTTCTACGGTGCCCCCAAACCCTGAACCCTGAACCCTAAACCCTACGCCTCAATGACTGCTCCCTAAGCCCCCGGATCCTCTAAGTGTTGACGAGATCCAATCTAGGACCCAGAGTAGGCCCTTATGGCCCTTCTTTTTGAGGGCTTAGGGTTTAAGGGTTTAGGGTTTAGGGCTACTATGACCCGGAGTAGGCCCTTATTCATTGTTTTTGAAGTTTGGTTCCCTTATAGGCCCCTTTAAGCTAAAATTGGCACCCTTTTATTCCAAGGTTACTCCTGGAAGCTGTTCCGTAGCACACTTGTTGTCCCGAAGGCTCCCTATATATACTTGGGTTTTAAAGGGGTTCCTATTGGTTCCTAAAGTAGCTGAAGGGCCCAAGTATATACTATATATGTACACGGATCCTCGGGGTGTTTGGCTCTACGTTCCTACTCTTTCTGCCACTAAACAACCTTAGTCGTGCCGCGCTTGCGAGCCCTTTTGGTAGTGCCCTGAACTACTATGCTACAAGAAATACCTCAAATATGTCTATCGCAAGGCCCCTCCAATAGGGCCAAGAACACCCTCAGCCCCCCCCCCCTTTTAAGGTGTTAGGTGTGGACGCCGAGCCCGGAGGTTGCAACTTGGCGGGCTTAGGGTTTAGAGACCGAAAAACATGAGGTCTTGGAGGTTGCAGGGGCTGTAGAGAACCCCCAATACACGTTAACGCGTTCCGACTCAGCGTCCGCCGCAGATTTAGTTGGGGGTTTGGGTTTTCTCAACTCTTGGGTTTGAGGCTTTCATCTCTAAGCCAAGGAGAAGTTTGGTAAGCTCGTTGCGTTCCCTTCCATGGTTTCGGGCTTCGGGTTTGGGGTTTCAGTGTTTAGGGGCATTTTCGGTTAGGGGTTGAACAGCCAAAGTGCAGCCTTAAACTCTACTTCTTAGAGTGGGTACCACAATTAGGGTCCCTTAGTATGGGCCCTGAATTGGGGAACCCCGATACCCACCATGCAGCTTCCCTTAGAGCGATTCATCGCCGTCTCCCCCAAACAAGCCATATCTGCCCCTAAACCCTGAACCCTAAACGCTAAACCCTAAACCTCAAAACCCTGAAGCCCCTAAACCACAGATTGAGAGAGCCCCTCCCGGACAAGAAACGACAAGCCACTTATTTTCTGAAGGTTCGAGGAATGCAGGAGCTCGTTTCCGAGGGATGGGCTTTTCGACCCTTGAAGGCGCATTTATAGGACTAGGGGCGTAGGGCAAGGGCTTGTGCACCCTAAACCCTAAAACCTGAACCCCAAATGTATCAGAGACCGGCCACGCTGAGGCGTGGTGCTCATCCGGGAGGACTGCCGCTTGCACGATAACCCTGCTCTGCATGCGGCGGCCGAGATGCACCCTTGGGTGGTGCCTTGAACCGAGAGCTGAAGGGGCTGAGGGTGGGTGGCCGACACATCCCTAAATACTCACCCCTGTATAATTCGAAACCCTAAACCCTAAACCTTAAACCCTAAACCCTAAACCCTAAACCCGGGATTCTGAGGGGTTCTCACGGCGTAGCATCCCGGGTGATGCAGAGATGTCCTTCAGGATCCCCGCATCCCCCTGATCCTGGTCTCCCAGCCTCACCTGTGTTTAGGGTAACGCCATCTTGAGAAGTTGACTTCAAGCCCTAAACCCTAAACCCTAAACTTTAAACCCTAAACCCTAAACCCTAAACCCTAAACCCTAAACCCTAAACCCTAAACCAGCTGCAAGGCGGCCTAGGAGAGCTGCCCAGTTCCCCATTTGAGGGCGTATGCCTACACTGAACAGCAGCCGTTTTGGCCCGCGAATTCTCAGTCGGGAGCGCCTTGCTTCAGCGTTCGAGGAGGATGGTTTAGGGTTTACGGTTTAACGGTTTAGGGTTTAGGGTTCAGGGTTTAGGGTTTGGGGATGCTGCACATCCGGATGCTTTCGGGAGAGGAGTTGGCGAGCCTGCCTGTGGAGGAGGTGAGCGACGTGAGGGAGTTGAAGCGGCTTCTGAATCGGAGGCATGGCCAACCCCCGCGATTCAGGCAGAGGCTCCTCCTGCACAGCGCGAGCTTCTTAGTGGTAGAGCAGGTAGCCGTTAACCTTGTTGAGGATCATTAGCCTTCCCTATAGAATCCCAAAGGTTGGGCTTTAAAAAACTTCAGCTCCCCAAGGAAGGACACGGGACAACTAAGGCTTGGATGACGCTGCTCATTTGGACTCCGCCGCTGACCTCGGGCTGGTCCTGCTTCCCTATGCGGAAGTTTCCCTGGCGCAAGCGGACGAGCTCGCCATTGCCGCCGCCCAGGGCTCTGTGGCAGAGGTGGGCTTTTCCTGGGATCAAGATCCCATAAAGGCTTTTGAGCTCACAATGAGAACCCGAAGTGGCCCGTGAAGAACACGAGTGCCCCCATCAGGTTGAGTCTCTCCTGCAGCGTCCCCAAGATCCTAACCGGGGTAACACACGTGGCGCCAGACCTTTGACAAGGGCAGCCGACAGAGGTCATCGTGAGGTTGTTCGATTGTTGCTGGAGGCGGGCGCCGATCTTCACTGTGTCTTGGTAGCCCAGTGGTACCCTTTACCTGTTGTTTTGGTTATGGGTTCCCTTGGCAGAATAACCGCCCCCAAAAAAGGGTGCCCTGATTATAATATGGTTACTGGGCTACTAAGGTGTTGATGCACAAGGCTGTGCAGCTCTGATGCATGCATCTGGGAACGGCCATGCTGACATCGTGAGATTGCTGGTGGAGGCCGGTGCCGACAAGGACTGGGCCGATGGGAATGGCTGGACAGCACTGATGTGGGCCTTTCACCACGCTTCAGTCGTGAGCTTTCTGGTAGAGGCTGGTGCCGACAAGGATTTGGCCGACAAGGAAGGCATGACGGCGCTCACGTGGGCATCTTACCAAGGTTATGCTGAAGTCGCGCGCTTGCTGGTGGAGGCGGGTGCCGACAAGGACTTGGCCGACCACAACGGCTGGACGGCTCTGATGTTGGCGTCTCGCAAGGGCCACGTTCAAGTCGCGCAGTTGTTGATGGACGCTGGCGCCGACAGGGACTTGGCCAACAGCAGAGGTATGACAGCTTTGATGTGCGCGTGTCACAAGGGTCATGTTGAAGTCGTGCACTTGCTGGTGGAGGCCGGCGCCGACAAGAATCTGGCCGATGACAACGGCTGGACAGCTCTGATGTGGGCATCTCGCCGCGTTGACGTCGTTCGTTTGCTGGTTGACGCCGGCGCCGACAAGGACTTGACCGATAGCAATGGCTGGACAGCTCTCATGTGGGCAGCTCCCCATGTTAACGTAGTGCGCTTGCTGCTGGAGGCCGATGCCGACAAGGATTGCGCCAATAAGAATGGCTGGACGGCACTGATGTTGGCATCTCGCATGGGCCATGCGGAGAGCGTGCGATTGCTGGTGGATGACGGGGCCGACATGGACTTGGCCGCTTACACAGGTTCGACAGCTCGTTCGACAGCTCTGATGCAGGCATCCGCGCATGGCCATACCCAGCAAGACTTGACCGACAACGAAGGCAGGACAGCTCTGATGTGGGCATCTCGCATGGGCCATGTTCCGGGCGCGACAGCTCTGGTATTGGCATCTGCAAACGGCCATGTTCAAGTCGCGCGATTGCTGGTGGAGGCTGGTGCCGACAAAGACTTGGCAACCAGCACAGGTGCGACTGCTCTGATAATGGCATCTTCAGCTGGCAATGTTGATATCGTCCGTTTGCTGGTGGACGCTGGCGCCGACAAGGACGCGGCCGATAAAAACGGCTGGACAGCGCTGATGGTTGCATCTGCAACTGGCCATGTTCAAGTCGCGCGGTTGCTGGTGGAGTTAGGCGCCGACAAGAACTTGGCAACCAGCACAGGCGCGACGGCTCTAATAATGGCTTCTGCAAATGGCCATGTTCAAGTCGCGCGATTGCTGGTGGAGGCGGGCGCTGACAAAGACCTGGCAACCAGCACAGGTGCGACTGCTCTGATAATGGCATCGTCAGCCGGCCATATTAAAATCGTGCGTTTCCTAGCGGAGGCTGGCGCCGACAAGGACTTGGCCACGAGGACAGGTTCGACAGCTCTCATCCGGGCAGCTGCCAATGACCGTGTTGAAGTTGCACGTTTTCTGGTGGAGGCTGGCGCCATGCGGTGCCGACGAAGACGCGGCCGCTAGCAAAGGTTCGACAGCTCTGACCGGGGGTGGGGGGGGGGGGCATTTGCAAGAGAGCCATGTTGAACTCGAGCGTTTTATGTTGATTCAGCTCTCAGTGATTTAAGGCTAGGCCTCACGAACCCTGAATCCTAAACCCTTTTCAATCCCCCCCCCGAGCAAAAGAAAAAAAAAAAAACATTCAAGTTTCAAGCTGGCAGAAGCTCGAAACCTCAAGTTGCGGCTCCCAGGTCCCACTCTATGTGCACGATGAGGACGACCCATCACCCTGGCCCGTTCGCGGCGCGGGTCTTTGGTGGCGGTACGACACTGGGACGAGTTTTTGCAAACCAAAACCTGGGACCCAGAGTAGGCTCCTGTAGGTTTAGGATTTTGGATTTGGGGTTTGCGGGTGCAGGGGGTGCAGGGTTCGAGGTTCAGGTGCGGTTTCCTTATACAACAAAGGTACCTAAACCCTGAGATGTTTGTCCCAGGTTAGTCTGGGCCCTAAACCCGAAAGCTAAATGAACGCCTAGACCTTAACACCAAGGGAGCCCCGAAATAGGTTTAGGGTTTAGCGTTCAGCGTTTAGGGCTTAGGGCTTAAAGCCCTGGACTTCTTACCGATACTTCCAGTGATTTATCCGTGGGTATCCAAAGGCCTAAACAGACTTGACCGGTTCGCATTTAAGAGCCTTATGAGGTTCAAGGTAGGGTTTAGGATAATGGAACAGGGAGGTACCCACTTCAACGGGCAGAGTAGGAGCCGCACGACAGCTGAACCCTGCGTCCGAAATTTAGACCCAAGACTGAATATTGTTGCCGCAGGTCACAAAAGCACCCTATGAGGGGCCCTGGCCCTAGCCCCTCAATTCAGACACCAAACCCTAAACCCCAAACCCTAATCCCTAACTCAGGCTTAGGGCTTAGGATTTTAGGATCCTGATCCCTATATATCTTCAGGTGTATTCCTTCATTCGGTGTATCAGGCTCTTTGAGTGCGTTAGCCTAAAGCCACACTTCTGGCCCAGGTGCTGAGGGAATATTGACAGCGGGTTTGGGGTTTAGGGCTAGGGCTTGGGGTTAGGGAATACTGGAGGAAGGGTACTTGGGTGAAAAGCCTGTACGACCGGAGACATGAAGGTGCGGTTTCGGGTTTAGGGTTTAGGGTTTAGGGTTTAGGGTTTAGGGTTTAGGGTTTAGGGTTTAGGGTTTAGGGTTTAGGGTTTAGGGTTTATATAGGGTTTAGGGTTTAGGGTTTAGGGTTTACGGTTTAGGGTTTAGGGTTTAGGTTCAGGGTTTAGGAGTCGCTGAAGCACTTCGACGTCTCGCTGCACTCGTTGGGCAGCCGGATCATCTACCGGAAGGGAAATCTGGTGGAGCAGGCCCCAGCCCAGACAAGCCCTAACCCTAAACCCTAAACCCTACACCCTAAACCCTAAACCCTAGACCCCAAACGCAAAATAGCTATTTCGGTGTGGCTCTTTAGTGAAGGAAGTAGCGGCTGCAACGTAGGGAAACGCCCATGAACATTATCTGAATTTCGCGCTTTCCTGGCAAATTCGATTTTTTTTTTTTTTTTTTAGTAGGGCTTTTTCGTGGAGCAGAAGGTGTGCGTGAACGGCCCGAACAACATTCAAGGTACCTCTTCAATTCAGAAGCTTCTGATGCGATGCAGGCTTGTTTGCTCCCGGGCCTCTGTCCGTCGCTGCTACGGGTTTAGGGTTTAGGGTGTAGGGTGTAGGGTTTAGGGTTTAGGGTTTAGGGTTTAGGGTTTAAGTTTTGTTCCCTAAGCCCTAAACCCTAATCTCCCCTATGCTTTACACGATGGAGGTCATGGACGTCTTATTGGCGACCGGCGCATCGGCTTTGCACTTCAACCTCCAGCGCGGGGCTCAGTGCATAGGGTTTAGGGTTTGGGGTTTAGGGTTTAGGGTTCAGCATCTCAAGTCCGAGCATTTACTAGTCAAGCAGCTTGTCAAGCGTTGGAATAAAACCCCACCCACCCAGGAAACCCATAACATTGAGAAAATACAAAGTTCACTCAATACATTCCCAGTAGGCTTCAAGCTCAAGGTCCAGTTAACCCAAAACCGAAATCAAACCTCCTCACTTGCTGGATGGGAATAGGGAGGGTTGCGGGGTGAGACGGGGTGGGGTGGGGGGGTGGGTGTTGTGGGGGGGGGGGTGGAGTAGGGGGGTGGGTGGGGGGGGGGGTGGGGGGGGGGGGGGGGTGGGGGGGGGGTGGTCTTATTAGGGCGGCGGGGGGGGGGGGGGGGGGGGGGTGGGGGGGGGGGAAACAATATGCCGACGAAGGGCGTCAGGGTTTACCCCCCGCCCGGGGAGAAAAAAAACAATATGCCGACGAAGGGCGTCAGGGTTTAGGGCCCCCGCCCGGGGAAAAAAAAAATATGCCGACGAAGGGCGTCAGGGTTTAGGGCCCCCGCCCGGGGAAAAAAACAATATGCCGACGAAGGGCGTCAGGGTTTAGGGCCCCCGCCCGGGGAAAAAAAAACAATATGCCGACGAAGGTCATTAGGGTTTAAATATACATAGTAAGAGAGGGTTTAGGGTTTAGGGTTTAGGGTTTAGGGTTTAGGGTTTAGGGTTTAGGGCAAGGGCTTAGGGTTTGCGGTTTAGGGTTTAGGGCCAGTTCATGGTCATAGGGTCATTGGGTCATTGGGTCATGTGGTCTAGGGTTCAGGCTCAAAGGAGGTTTTCAGGATTTTCTGCTTTCGAGAAGCCCGAAACTCCCAACGGCAGCTTTCCCGGCCGATCGCTTGGGGGTACATGGGTGGCTTGCAATGTTGTAACCTAGCCCCTATGCCCCATATAACCCTGTAACCCTAAATCCTATGAACCTCGACCCCTAAACCCTACACCCGCAAACCCTACAAGCCTTGCGACCCCCAATCCCAGATCAGGGATTGGGATGGGATCGGAGATTAGGAGGCTGAAGGGTCCGCCAAGTAAGGTTCTGAGGGTAGGTAGGGCTTCGTGATATAGGGATATGAGCTTGCCCCAAACCCGCGTTGGGGTTCTAGGTTGTCGGATTTACGGTTTGGAGGTGAGGGTTGGCATGGGCTAAGGCCGACTACATCAGAGCACTACCCTTCTAATACGGAATATACCTTACAAATGACTGAGCATCCCGACATAATTTAGGATATACTCCCCTAAAGTCTATAAACCCTAAACTAGACCCCATAGTCCTTAAGCCAGGGGCATTGGGCTCTTTGGGATCTTGCGTCGCCCAGCCGGGAGAGTCGAGGGAGACTGCCTCTGCTGCGGGTTTGGTGTTTTTTTTGTTGTTTAGGGTTTAGGGTTTAGGGTTTAGGGTTTAGGGTTTAGGGTTTAGGGTTTAGGGTTTAGGGTTTAGGGTTTAGGGTTTAGGGTTTAGGGTTTTAGTTTTTTTTTTTTTTGGGTTTAGGGGCCTAGGGTTTAGGGCTTAGCGTGTAGGGTTTAGAGATTGGGGTTGACTCTAGACTGCACTCTGTGTTCGCTAGCGTTTGGGTTCCGAACTTTGCTTGTTCCAAGCTTCTCGTGCGCAGAGCCCTAAACCCTAACCCTAAACCCTGGCAGCAGGCTGGAGCCCTGGCATCACCAGCGAGACAAGGACTGGAATTCGGTTGAGGGTTTGCGGGCGCCCAAACCCCTGACCCTAAACCCCAAGTTACTTTCCGGTTTAGGGTTTAGGGTTTAGGGTTTAGGGTTTAGGGTTTAGGGTTTAGGGTTTAGGGTTCCCCCGCCCCCCTTGGCCCCTTGGCCCCTTGGCCAAACTGCCTTTAATGGTGGTTGTCAGGCCCGAATTGTAGGCACGCGTTTTTTTTTTCCGACTCCCAGGGCTCGACAGATGGTTCAGGGTTGCGGGGTTTAGGGATTCCGGGATAGGAAGTGGGAGGGTTTGGACGTTAGGTCTTAAGGAGTGTTGGGTTGCAGCGGTGGTTGAGGTGTTGGGTTTAGGGTTTTAAGGGTCTAGGGTTTAGCCCCAAGCCCTAAACCCTAAACCCTAAACCCTAACCTCGGTAGACCAGTAGGAGCTCGAGTGCGCTGCGGTGGGAAGCCTGGGCATTGACGTGCGAACGTTCACCGCCATGGTCATGAAGTTTGAGCCCTGGGAGGCACGAGTGCGATTTTAGGGTTTGGGGTTTGGGGTTTGGGGTTTAGGGTTTAGGGTTTAGGGTTTAGGGTATAGGGTTTAGGGTTTAGGGTTTAGGGTTTAGGACCTTAAGCCCTAAACCCTGCTGAAACCTTGCAACCAAGCTCACACATGTGCAGCTGTCCCTGTCCCAGCTGCATGCGCTCCAAGAAAAAGCAAGCTAAACCCAGAACACCCTTGATACCCTCCATACATTATATACATATATATGTATATCCTAACCCAAACCCTGAACCTCTAAACCCTCTGAACCGTCTTAACCCCTCTAAACCCCTCAAAACCCTCTAAACCCTCTAGACCCTCTAAACCCTCTAAACCTTAAACCCTAAACCCTCTAAACCCTAAACCCTAAACCCTAAACCCTTGCGCCTCTCGAAGCCCCTGAAGGCACGGCGCTCCAAGGACGAGGGGCCTCGGCCGCGCCGGGAGCCCTTGGAGGCAGGGGTTTAGGGTTTAGGGTTTAGGGTTTAGGGTTTAGGGTTTAGGGTTTAGGGTTTAGGGTTCAGGGTTCAGGGTTTAGGGTTTAGGGTTTAGGGTTCATAGGGTTTTGGGATTTGGGCTTTGGGTTTTGGGTTTTGGGTTTTGGGTTTTGGGTTTATAAGGGTACTAAAGGTGTTCGGGGTTTAGGGTTTAGGGTTCAGGGCTTGCAATCACCTGAGGAAGGGTATGTGAGGTATTTAGGGTGTATTCAGGGAATTTAGGGTCTCTAGCGCATTTAGGGAATTTTGGGTGTTTAGGGCATTTAGGGTATGTAGGGCTCCAGGCCAATTATACAGGGTACATGCTAGTTAGGGGTTCATGTTCCGGGTTCAGGGTTTAGGGTTTGGGGTCCCTGAACCCGCGCCAGGCGGTGCGACGCTTGAGTTCTCCGCCGGAGTGGCCCTGGTCCATCCCGCTGGAGGGCCTGGGATATGGGCGCACAGGCCCAAGCGCCGGTTTTTGTTTGGCTTTGGGGGGTTTCTAGAGGGTGAGTCCCCCAACCTAAGCCGAAGGCCTACGGCCCTGAATTTGGTAATTAGGGGGCTGAAGGGATGAAAGTGCCTCCGAGTTGTTGTTCCTTGTTGGGAAGAGGGTTAGGGTCTCGGGTTTGGAAACTACAGCCGAGACCCGAAACCCTCTGGGACTTCGGGCCGCGTTGAAACCAAACCCAAACCCAAGAAGCCCTCCTGGGACCCAACCCTTCGGTCCTGGGTTTGCCCTAACCCTAAACACTGAACCCTGAATCCTAAGCCCTAAACCCCAGGCCCTCTAAACCCTCAACCTAAATCCTAAACCCTTATGGGCTTCGGGTTTGCGGGGGCGAGGCGGGCGCAAGATTCCTCCCAACTTCCGGCAGTTCAACGAGAAGAGGCGGGGATCTTAGGCTTTAGGGTTTAGGGCTCAGGGTTTTAGGTTTAAGGTTTAAGGCTCATCGTGTTCATGAACTGCACCTTACCTTACAAAGAGCGGTTTCGAGCGCGCGCGCGCGTGCGCCGCCGTTGTCAGCTAAGCCCTTGTCGTGCGATTTCTTTCCCTAACCCCTAAACCCCAAACCCTAAACCCTACATCCTACACCTCTGAGCCTGTTCATCTCTCAAAAGGAACTCCTCCGATCATATCACAGGGTGCATCGTGCAAAGGCTTTGCGTCCTCTGCTTGGAGCTGTACCTATAGGGTTTAGGGTTTAGGGTAACTGTACTTGTATCTGTACTTAGCACTTAAGGGGCTTATCAGTGGGCTAAAAAGTACAGTTATAGTTGGTTGATAAGTACCATGAACCTCCACTGGCTGGCCAAAGCCTTGAGCAACCCACACGCCGATCCACGATCTCGTGTGTCCGGCGCATACCTTGCATCCGGCGAGCAAGCTTTACAACTTCCTAAACCCTAAACCCTAAGCCCTAAACCGTTCTCGCAGTTGAAACAATACGATGATGCAGAAATCGACAGCATCAGAATATTCGGTGCGACACGATGCGACATCAGGCAGTCTGTTCCCTCGCTTGCGCACAACGATGCCATTGCCAGGAGCAGGAGTGCCAGCGGATTTCGCGGAAACGCCCGAGTTGGCGCACGGCGTGTCCGAACTTTGTTGCGGGTTGAGGCTATGAGGTTCATGGTACTTATGGCCCGATTATCACTGCACTTATCGCCCCAATACGACCCTTAAGTGCCCCAACATGGTTATAGTTGGGTGATAAGTACAGTTATAGCTGGGTTAAAGAAGTACCATGAACCTCCAACTAGGGGCTCTGATCCCTATAAAACCCACACCACACCCCGACGTAGAGTTCATGGCTGCGAGGCTGTCCAGAAGCAATCACGGCAGTTCCTAAAACTGTTCGCGCTTTGCCCAAACCCTCGTAAACCCCACACTCTAAACCCTAAACCTGAAACCTGAAACCCTAACCCTAAACCCTAAATTACACCCGAAATCCTAAACCCGTTGGTTAGGATTTCGGTCCCTGGGTACCCTTGCATTGGATTGCCTGAAGGCAGGCTATGTTGGCCGCCGGCTTCGCTGTGCCGGAGGAGGAGCATTAGGGTCTGCATTTAGGGTTTAGGTAGGGTTTAGGGTTAGGGTTTAGGGTTTAGGGTTTAGGGTTTAGGGTTTAGGGTTTAGGGTTTAAGGTAGGGTTTAGGGTTTAGGGTTAGTGGGTTTTAGGAACCACGAGGACCCTTCAGAGCTTTTTTCCTCGTAAGGGGGGGGAAATCCGTGCTCGGCTTGCGAGTTCTTGGTAGAGAACTCAGGAATTTGGTCCCCTTTATCCTTTTGTAACACGCTCTCGGGGATTATAAAGGGACGTAGGTTAGTCATTTGGGACTATTTACCCCTTTTTTTCTATCGGGCATAGGGTATCTCTAGATAAGCCTCCCTAAACCCTATAAACCCTATAAACCCTATAAACCCTATAAACCCTATAAACCCTATAAACCCTATAAACCCTATAAACCCTATAAACCCTGAACCCTAAACCCCGTACGTAAATTAAGGGATCGGTCTCTTTTGGCCCTGTGCAGGACGACTGGGCCTACGAGATGCGGAGGCTTCTGTCATGCTTCAGGGCTTAGGGCTTAGGGCTTATAGGGCCTAGGGCTTAGGGTTTAGGGTTAGGGTTTAGGGTTTAGGGTTAGGGTTTGGGGTTTAGGGTTTAGGGTTTAGGGTTTAGGGTTTAGGGTTTAGGGTTTCGGATCCTAGAGTTCATAGCTTTGGGTGTAGGACTCTCCTAAACCCTATAACCCCTAAGCCTGAGAAGAGGTGTGCGAGGCAGCTAGACGTCTTTTGGCACCTGCTTACGCACCTTGCTTTGTGGCATATTTCTCGTTCAACAGCGGAGGGTCTAGGGTATAGGGTTTCGGGCTTAGGGTTCATTCATTTCTCGTCCCAAGCTTCCCCTTGCGCTCCAGACTGCCGACTCTCTAAAACGCTAAATCCTAGACTCTACTTGGAGGTGCATGGCACTTATAACCCAGTTATCACTGTACTTATGACCCACTTACAAGCCCCTTGAGAGGCCTCACATGGTGATAATTGGGTATAAATTGGTTAATAAGTACCATGAACTTCCCAGAAGGACCTCAGGGTTCAGGGCTTGGAGGGGGTACTCCTAAACCCTAACCCCTAAATCCCTAATCCCCAAAGTTTGGGGCGAGGGGGGGAGGAAGGCACATGGTCATAACTTGGTGTCACTCTGACCCTGAAACGTACTTCAAGGTTCATGCTACTTCTAAACCAGTTACAACTGTACTTATAGCCCACTGATAAGCCCCTCAAGTGCCCTGATATGGTTATTAGTACAGATATAAGTACCCTAAACCCTAAACCCTATAAGTACAGTTATCATGGGTTAATAAGTACCATGAACCTCCAAGTAACCTGTCTCAGTTGCACCCAGAGGTTCTGGCCCATGGGGGAGGCTGCGGCCATGCGGCGGCTAGAGGCGCCAGAAGCGTCAGGGCGGTTTAGGGTTTAGGGTTTAGGGTTTAGGGTTTGGGGTTTGGGGTTGAGGGTTGAGGGTTGAGGGTTGAGGGTTAAGGGTTTGGGGTTTAGCGTTTAGGGTTGAGGGTTGAGGGTTTAGGGTTTGGAGTTTGGGGTTTGGGGTTTGGGGTTTAGGGTTTAGGTGTTCCTTGGCTTCACTGGCCAATGGTTGGGAGGTCACTAGTCTCAGTTGTGCTGTGTGTTGTCTCGACCTACAGATGCCTGGGTTCGGGTTTGGAGGTTAGGGTTGGAAAACTTCTACATCGTAGGAAATAGAGTTGCAGGTTTAGGGTTTAGGGTTTAGGCTTTAGGGTTTAGGGTTTAGGGTTTAGGGGGTAGTTCCGGCAGCATGACAGCACCTACCATCATCGCACCCGCCGAAAGGAACTGAACCAATGCCCTCAACCCTCATCCCCACTGTGAACACCCGGGCCGCCCTGAACATGGATCCAACATTTCTTCGCCGACCCGCCCGCCACATTCGCTGCGGAATAGCGTTGGGCTCGCCTTCTAAACCCTAAGCACTAGAACGTCCTCGAACATCCGATGCATAACTGCGATTTTGGGTTCGGTGTTTAACGTACACAACCCTGAACCACTAAACCCACCCCTTCGCCTCAACCCCTCCGCCCCGAAACACTAAACCTCAAAACCCCTACATCCAAACCCCTTAACTACGCCTAAACCTTGAACCCCATAAACCCCAAAACCGCCAAAAGCCCCAAAACCCCAAAGCCCCCAAAGAAACCCAAAAGTGCAAAAACTCCTAAGCCCTCCAAACCAAACCGAAGACGCATCGGAACCCCCCCAAACTAAGCCTAAACCGTGAACCCCTAAACCCCCCTAAGCCCGGCTAAACCCCATGTGAATGACCTTATTCCTGGTCATTGTGCCCACCCATGCCAGTGAGCATGCCCATCACTTCGGGCACCCCTGCTGACATGACGCGTGCACCTTAAGGGCCGTGCACCTTCCGCACTCCCCCCTTTGGCACAGCCAAAGCCCCCACCAACAGCGGCCGAAAGGTGTGCGCCACCCAACCTTTCCGTTAGGCGCTCGCTGTCAACCTGCCAGCCACCTCTGCAATGCCACCCATGGACAAAGCTGCCCCTAGGAGCCCAGGCCACCCCCGCAGCACCTTTTGCTTTGGTCCAGGCAACCTCTCCTATTCCCAGCAACCCCCACAGGATGAACCCTTGCCCTGGCCAGCACCACACGCGCAGTGTCGCGTGAACTTGGCGCTCATAACCTGTGAATGACCTTATTCCTGGTCATTGTGCCCACCCATGCCAGTGAGCATGCCCATCACTTCGGGCACCCCTGCTGACATGACGCGTGCACCTTAAGGGCCGTGCACCTTCCGCACCCCAAACCCCAAACCCCAAACCTTAAATCCCAAACCCCAAACCCCAAACCCTAAACCCTGAACCCTGAACCCTAAACCCTAAACCCTAAATGCAATGTGCGCCAGGAATGGCTCAAGGATGCCGCCTGGGGCTGCTATTTCCCGCCAGGAGGGCCCCGGCAGAGATGCGGTCTGGGGTTCATGGGGGTGCTTGGTTTAGGGTTTAGGGTTTGGGGTGTAGGGCTTAGGGTTTAGGGTTTAGGGTTCAGGTTTAGGTTTTAGGGTTTAGGGTTTTAGAGCACAGGGGTTAGGGCAAAGTTGATTTGGGGTAAAGTTCGAGGGTTCAGGGCTTAGGGTTATTTGTTGTGTTTAGTCAAGGGAATCATACTCGGACCCCCTAAAAATGTGCCCCTGGGAGGTGGGGGTATAGGCTTCTCGGCTTCGCGCTTTAGTGAAAAGGCTTCCGGGCTCATGTGGATACCCTGTAAACACCCTGAACCCCACGAAGTAGAACTCTAGAAGCCTTCAGAAAGCCCCCCAAAACTCGAATCCCCTAAGCTCTTATTAAACTCTCAAACGCCTAAGCCCTGCGCCATCCCATAAGCCTGAATCCCTACCCGAACCCCCCCCCCCCAACCCCACCCCCCCAACCTAACCCCTAAACTCTAAACCCTAAACCCTACACAAACCCCTAATTACCACCCCTATAGACCCTTACACCAGAATCCCCATCTGTTTCGAGGCCTCCATCCACGAGATGACGCTGGCGGCCGCTTTCGGGCCGACAAGGTCCGGGTCCTAGCTTTCAGCAGCCTCGTGCGAGGTGTAGGTTTTGGACCCAGACTGCGTCAGTATTCTCTTGCATTGCGGGGATCCCAGTAGAGAAGGTGCCCTATAAGCCTAGCCCGTGAGAATTGCCAGAGGCCTGGACAGCCATGCTCAGCCCATACCTCCGCTTCGGTGACCTCTCCGCGCGCTACGTGGAGTGGCGCACGTGCCAGGCACCCCCCTCCGATGGAAGGGTTGTTTAGGCGGTTTAGATGGTTCAGGGGCTGTAGGGCTTAAGGATTCAGAGCTTAGGGGTTCAGGGTTGAGGGGTTTTGGGCCTCAGGGCGAAGGGTTGTCCCTTAAGAAGCCGTTAGCAGGGCTGCTTGTGCCAGGTTGGGGTATAAGGAGGGACCCACGGGACCTTTGTATCTTGTTCCCCTTTTTTGTGCCCTTCTATATACCTCATAAAGTCCCTAAATACCTAAGCCTATGAGGGTCCCTCCTTTAGTCCCGGAATTCTGTCTCGGCATGCATTTTTTTCGCCACTAGGGCTGAGAAGGGGTTGCGGGATTTGGGGTGAGGGCTTTTCTGAAACTTTAAACCCTGGAAGAGTTTATGGAGTGCACTCTATGAAGTCGAAGACCAGCGGGAACAGTGCCTTGAGGCTGTAGATGTTGTGCGCCAACTTTGATCCAGGCTTCCAGGGTACGACTTGTCAGCCGCGAGCAGAGGTTGAGATTTGCGGTTTCGGGTTTCTTTGCTACCCCCCCCTAGGTTCACCCCTTAAAATTCCCCCCTCTATACTACCCCCCCTAGGTTCCCCCCTCAACAAACTTTAATTTCCTACGGGGGTAGTATAGATGGGCGCAGTAGGGGAACCCGTGAGTTGAGGGCGAGTCTTAGAGAGCCACGGTTTAGGGTTTAGGGTTTAGGGTTTAGGGTTTAGGGTTTAGGGTTTAGGGTTTAGGGTTTAGGGTTTAGGGTTTAGGGTTTAGGGTTCGAAGTTGCATTTCTGCTTCTCGAGAGCGGTAGCAACCAGGTGGTTGTAGAGTTCAGGGCCCAGGGGCGTTGAAGGTGCTGGCCCCTTGAAGGCTCCCTGCGTCTTGTAGGTTTAGGGCTGAGGGTTTCAGGTTTCGGGTCTAGGGCAAAAACGCTGAAAATTGCGGGAGGTGCTTCCGCAAGAGTTGCGGCAGCTGTTCCTGAAGCGCGTGGTGTGGCGAGACAAGGCCTAAAAGCCCCAAACGCCAGGGCCAGGTTTCAGGGCTCAGGGTGCAGGGTTTAGGGTTTGGGTGTCGATTTTTTTTGGTTTCGGGTTGAGATACTTCGGTCACTGGAAGTGTAGGAACTCTAGGGTAGAATTTTAGGGTTTAGGGTTTAGGGTTTCGGGTTTAGGGTTTAGGGTTCAGGGTACAATAGCCCCTCCCGCTGCTCATGGTATTCCACTTATTCACAGCAGCCCCTAACCCAGAGCCCGCCACGACAGGCATGCACCTGGGATTTAGGTCAGGTTTAGGGTTTAGGGTTTAGGGTTTAGGGTTTAGGGTTTAGGGTTTAGGGTTTAGGGTTTAGGGTTTAGGGTTTAGGGTTTAGGGTTCAGGGTTCAGGGTTTAGGGTTTAGGGTTTAGGGTCTAGGGTCTAGGGTCTAGGGTTTAGGGTTTAGGGTTTAGGGTTTAGGGTTTGGACACCTCTGAAGCCCCGAGGCTGTATAAAACCCGAGACCCTTCTTGGAGATGGGGGACCTAGTATAAGTAGTTGTTTAGGGTTTAGGGTTTAGGGTTTAGGGTTTAGGGTTTAAATTGTAGGGTTTCTCCAGTAGGGCTTTTTTTCGCAGGAAACCCCGAATTTTTCGGGGTGCACTTCCGAGGCTACTTCGTGCGTCCCTCCGAGTTAGGGTTTAGGATTTAGGGTTTAGGGTTTAGGGTTTAGGGTTTAGGGTTAGGGTTTAGGTTTTAGGGTTTTAGGCCTGAAACACCTGAAGCCCCATCGTAAAGCATGGGCCAGGCGTACTCCCAGCTCTACCGCTGTCCGGACTCACACTCTGTGCCTCGGCATTCTTGTCCTTCGTAGCCATCGCATATTAAGCTTTGAAACTCTTCGATGTAGGGTTTAGGGGTATTAGGGCTACTAGGGCTTAGAGCCTTGCAGGATACCCTGCTTGGCTCGAACCTGGAGTTGGTTCTTTCAGGTGAGTGTCTGGGATGGTGCTGCCACAAGTTTCCGAGTGGTTCTGTGTCAGGACCGCCGTTTATGCAGGAGTCTTTATTCCTAAGCCCTAGACCTCAAGCATATAGTGGGCGCTTAATTGCAAAGCATCCACTTGTGGTGGCTTGCGTGAAACTGCTGCTGAGAGGGGTCGAGCAAGTGAGAGGCTCAGAAAGGTAGAGAGGTGAAGGGTGTAGAGGTTAGTGTAAGCACAGTTCAGTAGACACAAAAGCCTAAACCCACGTGATCGAGACCTACGGGATGACTTCTTGTCGCCTACCCCAACCCCTAAGCCCTGTTAACCCTACACCCTAACCCTGAACCCTGGTGAAGAGATTTCCGCCTACCAGCACGGGCCCGAGGCTCCCTCCCCCCCCCCCCTCCCCCCAGGAAATGGCTCTAAGAGTTTCAAGCCCAAGCCCGAGGTAGAAGCTTTAGTCTTCGCGTTTGTGGTATTGCTATAACTATGCGGCTTATATAGGCTTTAGGATTTAGGGATGGGGGGGGGGGGGGATGAACTCTTTGCGCAGGTGAGCATCCGGCCGCTGGACCGCCTTTGGAAGTCATTTTTTCGTTTTTTTCATTTGGCTACATATACCATGGCATCACCTTACTCAACCCTGCACCCGACACGGAAGGCTAGTTACTAGGTATTTGGTGGTGCGTCAAAATAAGCATTTGACGAGTGGTTCCAAGAAGAACCTTTAGAATCCAAAACCCTCAGTTCCCAAAGAGCCCAATACCCCTTAAGTAAGGAACATTCCTTAAATCATATTAAGGATCCCTTTTTAGGATTCAAGGGATATTCTTCAATTAAGGGGAATTCGGCTCTTTGGGTTGTCATAAGAGCAGCTGCTTGAAGGTTCATGGTACTTACTAACCAGTTATAACTGTACTTATAACCCTACTTATAATACCCCTAAAGGGCCTTATAGGGGTTATCCCAATTATAAGTAGGGTTATAAGCCCAGTTATGATTGGTTGGTAAGTACAATGAACCTTCAAGTGAGGCCCCAGTACGAGCAAGAGGCTTGGAGCGGGACGCGGCTGCAGCTGCGGCGGTGGCAGCGTGGCGAAACAGGACGGGCGCAGGGCCAAATACCCCTTCTCCGAAACCCTAAACCCTAAACCCTAAACCCTAAACCCTAAACCCTAAACCCTAAACCCTAAACCCTAAACCCTTATCCGAAACCTTGAACCACAAACCCTGAACCCCCAACCTCAAACCCCAAACCCTAAACCCCTAACCGGCTTCAGGGCGTAGCGGTTCAAGGTTTCTAGGCAGAGCTGAGGGTTGAGGGAGCTCCTGCTTCCCCAAACTCCGAATGTAGGGTTTAAAGCTTTAGGGTGTAGGGGTTTAGGGAGTATTTGTTGGTTGTAGGTTTCGCAGTTGGAGTTCGGTTTAGGGCTTCGGAACCCTAAACCCTGAACCCTAAAAACTAAACCCGAAACCCTAAAGCGCCCAGATGTGTCCTGCAGGCTATCCGCTGGTTGACGCTGCTATGCGCCAGCTATGGAAGGACACCCAACTGTGCATGACTTTCGTGGGTTCCGGGTTCCCCTACTACACTCCTCCCCCCCCCCCTCCAGGGTTTAGGGTTTAGGGTTTAAGGTTTAGGGTTTAGGGTTCAGGGTTCAGGGTTTAGGGTTTAGGGTTATAGGGTTCAAGGTTTAGGGTTTAGGGTTTAGGGCTACCCCCCCCTAGATCCCCCCATAATTATGGTTATTTAGGGATATTGAAGCCTAATTAAGGTTATTGAAGGGGGGGACCTAGGAAGGCTAGTATAGAGAGGGGTAGTATGGGAACCCATGAGATTTAGTGACCTAGCATGCTTTGTACTATCTAAGACCTTGGGCTATGTTCGATGTCCCCTTCTTGGGTGTAAATGTTAAAACAGTAGGGCTTAGGCAGGCCTTCGGGTCTAGGGGATAGAGCCGCCTATGCTGGAGCTTGCAGCTACTACTTCTACTTCTACCTCTACTTCTATTGCTAGTGCTACTGCCGCTGCTGCTCCTACTACTACTACTACTACTACTACTACTACTACTACTACTACTACTACTACTACTACCACTACTACTAATCACGATCACGACCACCACCACCACCTCCACCACCACCACCACGACGACAACGACCACCACGACTAGCACACGTATTACTCGTATTACTTCTACTGCTAGTCTGTTTTTTACTGCTATTACTTCATCAAACAAATTATAGCAAGCTCATCCAAACTCATGCCTATGGGTCGTCGTCCGCACGCATGACAAGCAGGCCCTTGGGACATTTCGTAATCTCCTTCAGTGGGTTTAAGGGGATTCTATGTAGGTTTTTTTTTCCTTCAGAGGGCTTGAAGGAACATCCTAGAAGTGATCTAAACCCTAAACCCTAAACCCTCAACCCTCAACCCTAAACCTTAAACCCTAAACCCTAAACCCTAAACCCTAAACCCTAAACCCACTAAATTGCGATGCGGAGGTGGGCTGGATGTGCAATCACTTGCGCCACGTCACGGCGCAGTTCCTCATTGAGCACCTGGACTTGAGCTGGAAAGAAGGCGCGCACCCTAAACCCTAAACCCTAAAAACCCTAAAAACCCTAAAAACCCTAAAAACCCTAAAAACCCTAAAAACCCTAAAAACCCTAAAAACCCTAAAAACCCTAAACCCTAAACCCTTACCCCAAACCCCAAACCCCAAACCCTAAACCCTAAACCCTAAACCCTAAACCCTAAACCCTAAACCCTAAACCCTAAACCCTAAACCCTAAACCCTAAAACCCTAAAACCCTAAAACCCTAAACCCTAAGCACGAACGCGCCTTCTGTGTTCAAGGCCTCTCGTAACCCCATACCCTTAACCCTGACCTGTTTTTTTGCTGTGCCTTGAGGGCACGGCTCCCTCCATCGCTCAAAGTAAACGTTTAGTGCTCCGGGTTGAGTAAGTGGGCCTGAGGGCGCAGGGTCTACTTGAAGGTTCATGGTACTTACTAACCAATTATAACTGGGCTTATAACCCTACTTAGAATTGGGATGACCCCTATAAGGCCCTTTAGGGGTATTATAAGTAGGGTTATAAGTACAGTTATAATTGGTTAGTAAGTATCATGAACCTTCAAGTAGGGTTTGGGGGAAGCCGGAGTGAAGCGCGGTCGGGTAGCGGAATGCTCGCGGTAAGTCTCCTGAAGTGGAATGCCCCGTAGTAGCCAGAGGCCCAATGCCCCCTTGATTGAGGAATGCGCCTTTCAACACACATCGGGATCCTTATCTACTGTTTGCTTAGGAACCCCCCAAATTTAGAAGCAAAATCCATTCCCGTATTGCGATTTATGACGAAGAACTGTTGTTGTTTTATTTTTGTTTGGAGGGTCTTTAAGCAATGCGTTGTTAATCTTCTCTCAGGCGTATTCCTGAATCAGAGGCTATTGGGGCTCCGTGGGCACCCTTCTTCCCCGCGTTCCGGCCTTTGGATCCCTCAGAAAGCTTCCTTGAGTTTGAAAGATCTGGGTTTAGGGTTGAGGGTTTAGGGTTTAGGGGTTTAGGGTTTAGGGGTTTAGGGTTTCAGGTTAGTTTTTAGATTAACGATTTAAGCCATGAGCCTTTTCCAAAAGCCCATGCTCTAGCAAGAGACCTTCCCTGCAAACAAGCATTTTTGGGTTTGGGGCAAAGCAAGTCTAAACCCTTAACCCTAAACCCTAAACGCTAAACCCTTAACCCTAAACCCTAAACGCTAAATCCTGAGCCCTGAGCGCTTCAGCTGTTGGCATCCCGCGAATCATGTCGATCAATTATTTGCTTACGAACCCCCCGCCAGAAAGCTCTGGAAAAGCAATTTTGACAACCCTATATAAACCCTAACCCTAAACTCTAGCCCCAAACCCCAAACCTAAACCCGAAACCTCTTGTCCAGGGTTTGCCTGGTATGACTACACTTTGGTGGACACGGACGTCGCCATCAACGCCATGATGTGGCAGATGGGTGCAGTCCTGAGACCCGTCTATTAAGATGTTAAGGGTTTAAATTATGAGGTTTGGGGTTTACGTTTTTGGTTTTAGCAACCCCAGTTGTTGAGATGAGTGCTTATGTAGGGTTTAGGGTTTAGGAACCCCCATGTTGAGATGAGTGCTCATGTGTTCCTAGTATCCCCTATAAGCCGAGCGTTGCTGATACTCAATTCCCCAGAGTCCTCGTCTTACTGACGTTCCTCTTGCAAAACCAGAAGCTCCTGCCGCTCCCAGACAAGGTTTTCTCCACTCACTTGCTTTCTGTAAGGAGATTGATGAGATCCCTGTACGCTGTACGCGTTCTGTCTGTCATCCTTGCGACACCTACCACTGTCTTGAACACCTACAAAGCCCGATCTGTGCAACCTATGGAAAAGTCTCTCTGTCTCTCTCTCTCTCTCTGACTCTCTCTCTCTCTCTGACTCTCTCTCTCTCTCTCTCGCACTCTGCCTTGCGAGGCTTCTAGTGCAGCACATTTGAAAAAAAAGCCATACTGAGATGAAATGTAGTATAGTGAAGCTTACCAGAAGATGGTACAGTAGAGAACAGGATTAGCACAGCGTAGCGAAGCCTAGTCTTGTAGTATTTAGTTCTCACATCTGGGGGTTTAGGGTTTAGGGTTTAGGGTTTAGGGTTTAGGGTTTAGGGTTTAGGGTTTAGGGTTTAGGGTTTCTCACATGTAGAGGGACTTCCCCCAAAGAAAACTCTATCCCGCTGTCCAGATCAGAGAAGAAGGCTTGCCTGTTAAAGCTTATCCACAAGCCTGATGTCTGCCGACTGCTTAGAGGAGATTTAGGGTTTAGGGTTCAGGGTGTAGGATCACCATCCACATCTCAAAGTTTCACCTCCAAGGCAGCTCCTTACAGGTGGGACTCATTTTTGTTCGTGACTTTGCCGGGCGAGTTCCTTTTATTAAGGTTACTTCATATTAATATAGTCTTCGTAATGACCCTCCCCCGCCTGCCCCGTCCCCCCAGATTTACGCTTTCTGTTGCTATGACTACGAAGTGCTTAAGAACCACCCAAAAAAACAAAAATCTTCCTTATAAGGGTAATGTAGGGATCATTATTTGTTATTTTGTTGGGGGTTCTGAGGGTTCGAGAATACGGTGCCTGTAAGGCAAGGCGACCCCAATTTGCTACTCTTACAGAGAGACCAATACCCCAAATTAAGCAATATACCTTATTTTATATTGCGATCCCTACATAATGTCAGGTATACGTATTCCTGCATTAAGGTTTTGTACTAGGACCCCTATATAATTTACAGTATAAGGTATATTCCTTACTTACGGGGGTTGGGCTCTCTGGAAGAAAGCTCGCAGCAACACCAAGCAGGTGGCCATTCGGGGATTGGATCCTGGAACTTCGTGATGCATCCAATCTATGCGGGCAAGAAGGCACGACTTTGGGGCGCGGGTGCTTCGTACGTCTTGTTCAAGAGGTTTGTCCCCCAAATCCCTATGCCTAAGGCGAAACCCTGCTTTTGGGTTTAGGGCTGAGGGCCTATTAGGGTTTAGGGTTTCAGCAGCTTCATAGGGTTGAGGGGGTCTACAGGATCTAAGGGTTTTGAGTTTAGGGTTTAGGGTTTAGGGGTTTAGGGTTTAAGGTTTAGGGTTTAGGGTTTGGGGGCCTTCTCTTTACCTCCTTTGAAGCGTTCTGAAGTATGGGCCCTTGGGTTGTATAGGGTATGTAAGGGGTATAGAAGGGGTCCCCTTTTTAAGGGCCCAGCTTTAAGGGCACAATGTAACTTAAACCCTAAACCCTAAACCCTAAACCCTAAACCCTAAACCCTAAACCCTAAACCCTAAACCCTAAACCCTAAACCCTAGAGGGAGCCATGCAACTACCCCTAAGACAGGGTTTGGATGTGCCACGGAGGTGGACCCGCAAGGGAGTTACGTCCGCCGCTGGCTCCCCGAGCTCCGACACCTTCCGACCGAGTACATTCACTGTCCCTGGGATGCTTGGAAGGAATTTGGGGGGTTTAGGGTTTAGGGTTTATGGTTTATGGTTTAGGGTTTGGGGGTTTAAGAACTTTGGGGGTACCCTTATTGGGGTCCTTGTCATAAGGGAATCCTACTACTTCGGGGGCTACATTAGGGGTCCGGATTCCCTGAATTTTCGTAAACCCCCATTTCTTTGGCGCTCAACCCTAAACCAACCCTTTGGATTCCGGTCGTTGGTATGCTTGGAAGGGTTTTTTGGCCCTTGACCCTAAACAAAGCCTACGTTCAGAAGCCCTAAACCCTAAACCCCAAACCCCAAACCCTAAACCCCAAACCCCAAACCCCAAACCCCAAACCCCAAACCCTAAACCCTAAACCCTATAAACCCTAAACCCTAAACCCTAAAGAAATCCTGGTTTAACGCGGGGTCGTGGGATATCGTGGATTTTGGCATGTTGGGTCTAAGAGGATCATATGTAGCAACCCATTTTCAGAGAGTTTCTTAGTAGGGACTATAGAAGCCTATAAACGGGTTGTATATGGGGGGGAGGGTATATACCCCCATCCCTAGATGCAGCTTCCCTGTTAGGAGTTAGTAGGTTTTGTGCTGAGGATTCCGGATTTTGGGCTGGAGCCCTCCCTGAGCCCTAAACCCTAAACCCTAGACCCTAAACCCTAAACCCTAGACCCTAGACCTTAGACCCTAGACCCTAGACCCTAGACCCTAGACCCTAGACCCTACCCCCGAACTCCTCAAGGTGACCAGGTGAGAACGGGCGTGGGCATCTTTGCCCGCCTTAGTCCTCTGAGTTGGCAGACTGCCGAAGACTGATGGCGTCAGAGAATCCTCATTCTGCCCCCCCGGACAGCTTGCCAATTAATTAATTACCGAGGCCTAGTTATTTAACATTTTCCTATGAACTCATAAATGCTAAATAAATACAAAAAATTATATATATATATATATATATATATAATGAATATATATATATATATGTATATATACATATACATATGGATGTTGATAGTAATAGTAAGAATCATCATATAAAAAGGATGATAAAGACAAACATATGTGTGTGTATATATGTATATATACATTTGGCGTTTTATGATGGTCCAGAGAACGCCGGTTTCAAGGTGCGCCCAAGGCCTAGAGGATGCGAGGGGGAGGCCCTAAAGCCTAAACCCTAAACCCTACAACCCTACAACCCTACAACCCTGCAACCCACCAAGGAGGCGCCAGCGGGCACGCGGATCTCTGCACAGGTTCTCATCAACGGCGTGTACTGGCAGCGGGTGATCGAAGCGGCTTGGCTGATCTTGGCAGGAGCCTCCTGGGTTTCGGGTTTGGGGATTTGGGGTTTAGGGCTTAGGGTTGAGGATTTAGGGTTTAGGGTTTGAGTTGGCCCTCGAGGTCTCAAGGCCCTCAAGGCCTAAACCCAATGCGGTGAACCCTAAACCCCAAACCCCAAACGCTAGGCCCTTCTGAAACCCTAGACCCTAAACCCTAAGCCCTAAGCCCTAAACCCTAAACCCTAAACCCTAAACCCTAAACCCTAAACCCTAAACCCTAAACCCTAAGCCCTAAACCCTAAACCCTAAACCCTAAACCCTAAACCCTAAACCCTAAACCCTAAACCCTAAACCCAAGCAACCTGTCGGCTCCAGGATCTCATCTCTGCGAGGCTCACTCACCAGAGGCGTCGGAGAGCCACGGTCCACGGCGTTTAGGGTTTAGGGTTTAGGGTTTAGGGTTTAGGGTTTAGGGTTTAGGGTTTAGGGTTTAGGGTTTAGGGTTTAGGGTCCAGTGAGGGGGAGAATTGGCTTGAAGGTTTCGAGCTCATTTCTAGGGCTTTTGTTGCGGTCGCTTCAGGGCTTAAGGGCTTCTAGACTTTAGGATTTAGGGTTTTTTTGCTGTGGGCCTTCGGCCCTGTATGATTTCTATTTGTGTTGGAGGGTTTGTGTTTAGGCCTGGAGAGCCAGCCCAATACCCCTTAATTAAGGAATGTTCCTTCATCAACGGACATTGGGCTCTTTAGGGGGTTTCAGGGGTTTGTGCTGGTTGGGGGGTTTTCGGGCTTCAGGGTTTGCAGGAAGCTTTTGTTTTTTGGGCGTTTTGGCTGTGGCGGCGCCATGATTCGGCTTCCACTTTGTAGGCACAAGCTCGCCCCTTTCTTTGATCCCTTAGAGATGAAAGGGTAGAGGGCTATTTTATGTTGAGAAGGACACGTAAGGGCTACTAAGGGGTGCTTATAAGGCCTCAATACAGGTTCATGTCGGTTCCTAACCCTAAACCCTAAACCCTAAACCCTAAACCCTAAACCCTAAACCCTAAACCCTAAACCCTAAACCCTAAACCCTAAACCCTAAACCCTAAACCCACCCTCCACCCTTATTTCTCCCCCCTGACGGCAGAAATGTCATTGCCGTGCGGAAGCGCTTCCCACAATATGTTGACAAAGCTGCTCTGAAGCAAGAGGCTAGGAAACCCTAAACCTTAAACCCTAAACCCTAAACCCTAAACCCTAAGCCCTAACTTTTCGGGCTTTTAAGGGGTTAGTGTTTAGGCTGCCTTGGGTTCTGAAAGCCGAAGCCCTAAGCCATCCTAAACCCTAAATCGCCCATGTTTATACTCAAAAAGCCGAGTCGCGCAGCCGCTCTTGGTAAGTATCTGGCAGGCGCTTCTGAACTGCTACGAAGAACGTTGAACCCATTAATTCTATCAGGGTATGGAATACTAGCTAATCCCTAATCATCAAGAATCACCAAAAACTATTAATGAACAATGAAAATAACAGCGAATATACAATAGGTAAGAACTAGTCGTTAATGACCAATTTGCCGTAAGCGTGATATATCGCATTCATGAAAAATCAAGTTGCCGTGCACAATGGATAGTTAATGACTGTTTTTCAGAAAGAATTAAGATGCATCAGGTTAAACGCTGGTTATATCAGGGTTAGGAGCAGAATATACAATAGCTAAGAATGATTTGTCAATACGTTATGAAGAAGCAGCATAGTTAACAGACAATGACAAACAACAAACAACAAGGATAAGTCATAGTGAACACACGGTAGATACTAGTTCTAATCTATTAGTAATTCACCTAAAGGTTAGGTACATGAGGGTTTGGAGTTTACACCCCTGGTAGCCCGGTGGTACCCTTTACCCTCGGTTTGGTTTATAAACTACCCTAAACCCCAAACCCTAAACCCTAAACCCTATAGCCTATAAACCCGAAACGGGCTGGGTTTTTTTTGCCCCCCGTAGGGTTTTTTTTAGACCCTTTTTCGAAGGCTGTTTCTGCGCCCTGGGCCGGCCTCCTGGTCGCCCCCCTCGTGGACAGGGTCCGAAAAAAGCCCTCCTCGCCAACCCACGGCTTTTTCTATCCCCTGCCATGCACCCAGGACGAGAAAAAGCCTCGCCCTGCCATGATAGGGCTTTCATTCCGCCCTGCGCAGCCCGGACCCAGCCTCCCGTGCCACCTACACGTCCCGATAAAAACCCTTCTCGACCCGACGGTGGGCTTTTAACGGGCCACTCTTGACGCCCCATGTCCCGAAAAAAGCCTTCTCGACCCAACTGCGGGCTTTTTTTGGATCACTGCACGAGCCCTTTGGCCGGACAGGTCTCAAAAAAAACCCCCCACCCTTCGCCAACGGGATGCAAAGGGCCCCCTTAATGGCTTCAAACGCGCTTCGGGGGCACAGGGCCAGAATGAAGCCCCAGGGGGAGCGCAAAACATCCTATAGGCCTAGGAGGGCTTTTTTCACGCCCCGTGAAGGCTCTCGTTACGTCCTGTTTGAGCCTCAGGGCCTCTCCAGGACCTTTTGCTACTTCATACAATTGGCCCCTTCTGAGTGAGTGAGTGAGTGAAAGAAAGAAAGAAAGAACGAAAGGAAAGAAAGAAAAGGCGAAGATTGTTGACAATTTGAAAGTTTGAAATTCTCAGACTCTCAGGAGTTTTGAAATTTTGAAAGTTTGAAATTGAAACTTTCAAAATTTCAAAAGTTTTTAAAAATTAAAAAGTTCGGGAAACTTACCGGACAGTTTTTTCCAGTTTTCAAGATTTCAAATTTTCCAAAATGTTTTAAAGGCGAAAATTTTGAAATTTTGAAAGTTTGAATATCCAATCTTTCCCTGTTTCAACATTTGAAGAAAGTTTTTTAAGGCGAAAATCTTTTAAAATTTGAAAGTTTGAAATTCTCACACTTTCAAGCTTTCAAAATTTCAAAAACATTTCAAAAGGCGAACATTTTCGTATGGAGGGAAGGCCCGGGCTCGTAATTTAGTATTGGGGGAAGCCCGGGCTCGTGATTTTGTATTGGGAGGAGGCCCGGGCTCGTAATTTTTTGTTGGGGGGAGGCCCGGGCTCGTAATTTAGTATTGGGGGCAGGCCCGGGCTCGTAACTTCGGGCTCGTAATTTAGCATTGGTGGGAGCCTCGCGCTCGTAACTTAGTATCGGGAGGCGGCCCGGGCTCGTAATGAAGTATTGGGGGGAGGCCCTTGCTCGTAATAGTATTGGGAGGAGGATTCGAATAGTTTGAATGGTTTGGGGGCCCGGCCTGGGGCCTTTAGAGGCCCTCCTATTTCTTGGGATTCTTGGGGCTGCTTGAGAATTTTTTTGGGCTGCAGTGCGAAGCAACGACCTGGAGGTTTTCCTATCCCTTAGGATTTGTTGGGCTGCGGTGGGAAGCAAAGGCCAAGAGGCCATCCTATCGCTTAGGACTTTTGGGCTGCGGTGGGAAGCAAAGGTTCAGAGGCCCTCCTATTCCTTGGGATTTTTGGGACTGCGATGGGAAGCAAAGGCCCAGAGGCCCTCCTATCCCTTGGGATTTTTTGGGGCTGCGGTGGGAGGCAAAGGGCAAGAGGCCATCCTATCGCTTAGGACTTTTTGGGCTGCGGTGGGAAGCAAAGGCCCGGAGGCGACTAGCCGACAAAACAATCCTAAGCCACAGTAATAGCATTTTTCATGAAAGTGAGTTCTTGCAATTTCGGAAAACAACGGCGGGGAGTCGTCTTGAAGCCGGACAACTCATTTTTGGACAGGCTCGCCTCGCTGCCAGCTTTTGCGGGAAGCCGCTTCGGACCCAAAAATAGGCTTTTTCATAGATTCCCAAAAGTCTGCAATCACGCTGACTCTGTACTTTTTTCGCTTAGAATCAGCAAAAACAGCAAGTTTGCTCAAAAAATCCTACCGCGGACATAGTAAAAAATCGCAAAAATTGACCAATTTTTGGGGCCCGTGTAGTATAAAATCAAATAAAAAACGGTGCGTGAGCATGCCTGCAGATGCAGGAGAAAAGAGTACCCAGAAACCGCGGTATCATTCCCAAAAAATGACAAAAACACACCATACTCTCCTACGTCTCAATGCCGCACCCCAATTTATTTTGTTTTTTTCTGCTTCCGCGCCGCTATAGCTGCAAAACTGCTTTTGTCTTTAATTTAGCACAAGTTTGTTTTATTATTTTTCACTCAACAACAACCACAACAGCAGCAGCAACAACAACAACAACAACAACAACAACAACAACAACAACAACAACAACAACAACAACAACAACAACAACAACAACAACAACAACAAAAACAACAACAAAAACAACAACAAAACAACAACAACAAAACAACAACAACAAAACAACAACAACAAAACAACAACAACAAAACAACAACAACAACAACAACAACAACAACAACAACAACAACAACAACAACAACAACAACAACAACAACAACAACAACAACAACAACAACAACAACAACAACAACAACAACAACAACAACAACAACAACAACAACAACGAACAACAACAACAGCC